ACCATGCCCAGCTAATTGTTGCATTTTTAATAGAGGCGGGGTTACATTCTGTTGGCCAGGCTGGTCTTGAACTCCTGACCTCACGATCCACTTGCCTCAGCCTCCCAAAGTGCTGGGATTACAGGTGTGAGCCACCGCACCCGGCCGCCACTGCCTTCTCTTACATCTCTTACATCTCTCAGAGGCAGAGCCTAGTTTTGGTTCAGTGATGTTGTAGCTAAACTTGTTGTTACCCCTGGAAGGCCTTACTTTTTGCTCAAGTGTGCAATAAATATCCTCAACAATGATTTCATTCTTCCAGCTTCTCAGAGTCATGGTAGCAAAATCATTTTAGCTGTGGAGGATTCAAGATGAGGTTTCTCTAAATCAGATACTGTAAAAAGACTGTAGCATGGCTCTTTTCTTAAATTGAATAACCATTTTTCTGCCCTAAATAATGTCTCCAAAATTTAAGGCAGAATTTTGGGGGCCTCCACCAAATGCTTGTTGTCTGCTAGTTGAGCCGATTCCAGAATCTCTTTTGAGAAGCAGTAGGTGCTGCCCACTGTGGCCCCTGTCCTGTGCAGGCATGCCTGCTCACCTGGGGCTGAGTACACATCGGGACTCCTAAATTTCATTGCCCAGGTTCATCTTTTCTTAAATGCACAGCCAGGTTGCACTTAGCAATATCCTCACAGAGTTTCCTCTTTGATAGGTTGCTATCTCATACCTGCAAAAAATGTGGCTCAGTCATCTAGTGTTTGAAAGAGATCATCCAGGGAAGCCATTGCACTATGTGTCTCTGAGTTCTGTTGCTTTATTTGGTTAGACGATCAGAGAGCAAAGCTCTTGGACAGTGGTAGCTCATTTCCCCGTAGAAACGCCTTCCTTTGAGTTGAGGTATGAGGTTATACCCTCAGCTTTTACTGGGGCTTGTGGTGAAGAATGGGCATTTGAAGACCAACATGGCATCTTCTACAGGACTTGAGCTGAAGATATTAACTGATTTCTTACTTAATGTAAGGACTTAGATCTCTCCTTTTTTTTTTTTTAGACGGAGTTTCACTCTTGTTGCCCAGGCTGGAGTGCAATGGTTCGATCTTGGCTCACTGCAACCTCCATCTCCCGGGTTCAAATGATTCTCTTGCCTCAGCCTCCCAAGTAGCTGGGATTACAGGCACCCACCACCACGCTCAGCTAATTTTTGTACTTTTAGGAGAGACGGGGTTTCTCCATGTTGACCATATTGGCCAGGCTGGTCTCGAACTCCTGACCTCAGGTGATTCACCTGCCTTGGCCTCTCAAAGTGCTGGGATTAGAGGCGTGAGCCACCACACCCAACCAATCTCTCCTAAAATTTAACATCAGGAATGTATTTATTTCTCTTGGAAACTCTGCATCCTTTTTTATGGTTTTGGGAGCTTGGAGGCAACATGTGGTTGTGTAAAGCATGTTTTTGAGCCTGATGGCCCTGGGTTTCCATCTTCACTCAACCACTTAATGAGTGAATGGGTGCAGGTTGGCTACCGTTTCTCAACCCCAATGACCTCATCTGGAAATGGGAATAATTATTCCAATGCCATTGAGCTGTTGTGGGGATTAGGATACTTTGATGTAAACTGCCATGTATATAATTGGTGCTAAATAAATAGGAGTTGTCGACCATGTGTGGTGGCTCATCCCTGTAATTCCAGCACTTTGGGAAGCCGAAGTGGGCAGATCATGAGGTCAGGAGTTTGAGACCAGCCTGGCCAACATGTTCAAACCCCGTCTCTACTAAAAATACAAAAATTAGCCGGGTATGGTGGCATGCACCTGTAATCCCAGCTACGTGGGAGGCTGAGACAAGAGGATTACTTGAACCCAGGAGGCGGAGGTTGCAGTGAGCTGAGATCACACCACTACACTCCAGACTGGGCGGCAGAGCAAGACTCCATCTCAAACAAACAAACAACAACAACAAAAGAAACAAATGGGAGCTGTTACTTGAAAATCCATTGTACCAGAAAATTTCAAAGCTAGAATTAGTGTTCTAATGCAGTGACTACTCTAATCTAGCTTTCTAGTATGATAGTCTTTTTTTCTTGTAAGGATTTCTGATTGAACTTTTAAAAAAAATTATTTATTTGTTTTTGAGACAGGATCTCACTCTGTCACCCAGGCTGGAGTGCAGTAGTGCGATCACAGCTCACTACAGCCTCAACCTCCCGGGCTCAAGCAATCCATCTCAGCCTCCAGAGTGACTGGGACCACAGGTGTGTGCCATCATGCCTGGCTAATTTTTGTACTTTTTGTAGAGCTGGGGTTTGGCCATATTGCCCAGGCTGGTCTTGAACTCCTGGGCTCAAGCAATCCTCCCGCCTTGGCCTCCCAGAGTGCTGGGATTACAGGCATGAGACACTGCACCTGGCCTTATTTATTATTTTAATTATTCCATTCTCTATGTGTTTTAATCTACACTGCTTCCCATTTTCTTTGGGAGACGGGTGGTGAATAAATAAATAGAGCTACACATTCCAGTTACCTTGTGCCATTCTTACCTCCCTAGCACCAACACCTGGGTTCTAAATCCACCTTGGCCAGCTGGTCGACTGTGTGTCCTTGAGCAAGTTGCTGCCTGAGACACGGAGGTCTTTTGGGAGGTGGGCTACTGTGTGGGTTGATTGTGTTCTTTCCTCTTCTTCTGACACCTGATGAGCATCGGCAAATTGAGGAAATCATTTCAGAGTTCTGGGTCTGTTGCCTGTACCTGGTGCGGCTGGAGGCCAGGCAGCCTGCAGAATGCTGCGGTCAGGTGGGGCCAGACTTCTGGGTCAGACCTCCCCTGCCACAGTGGGAGAGAAGCTACCACCCACGCCCTGCAGGGCAGCAGTAGGGAGCCACAGGACCATGTTATCTCTGACACAGGCTAGTGCCTTAGTCCCTAGTCAGGAGGACTTCGTGACTTGCTTGGAATTCCCCTTCATGAAGGCAGGGACAGAGTCCTGCCTGCACCACGTCCCCATATGTACCCGTATCCCCGTAGCCATCTCTGCTCTCTCTCTTGCCCTGACACTCTTCCTCCTGCAAGCTATGTTTGTGTCCAGCTGTGAGTACCGACTTTCCCCAGGAGCAGCTAGAATCTGATCATCTTCTCAGCTGGAGGCAGGAGAACTTCTGTTCCAAGTGGGTTCTCCCCCTCGGACTCTGAATGCTGTTCTTCTCATGGTGCCTCTCCTGGCTTTGCTGTGCAGCCAACCCCAGCCGCCCTCACGGAGACTTGCTGCCCTCACGGAGGGTTCGTTTTGCATGTGGTTGCTGAACTTTGATTCTGTGACTCATGCTGAGGCGTAAACTTTAAGTCACCCCCCACCATTTAATTGCTTTCTTCCTTTCCTTTTTTTTTTCTTAAAAAAAAAAAAAAACAAAACCCAAAGCATAACTACTTTTGCAGCTGAACGTGACTGTGGCGTGCAGGAAGTGGAGCATTGGCATGAAGTGGCTCCCAGTGGCTGTGTGGCGCACGCCAGCTGCCCTC